CAGTAGCACTCCTGGGTATTTATCCCAGAGGAATGAAAACGTGTTCACACAAAAACTTGTACATATATATTTATAGTAGTTTTATTCATAATAGCCCAAAACTAGAAATAATCCAGATGTCCTTCAAAAGGTGAATGGTAAAACAAACTGTGATACAACCATACCATAAATACTGCTTAGCAGTAAAAAGCAATGAACTGCCAAGAATGGTGGCACAACCCTGTAATCCCAGTGATTTGGGAAGCAGAATTGTAGGTTTAAGGATAGCCTCAGCAATTTAGCAAGGCCCTAAGCCACTTAGTGAGACCCTAAAATCAAAAAGGGCTGGAGATGATGTAGCTGAGTGGTAAAGTGCTCCTGAGTTCAATCCCCAACACCCCTGTCCCACTCCCCCCAGCAAAAAAAAAAGGCAGTGACCTGAACTGCAAGGTGAGGTGGGATATGCCTATAATTCCAGCTACTTAGGAGGCTGAGGTGGAGGATTCCAAGTTCCAGGCTAGCCTGGGCAACTTAGGGTGACCCTGTCTCAAAATAAAAGGGGCAAAGGGGTGTAGCTCAGTAGTAAAGCACTTGGCTAGCATATGCAAGGACCTAAGTTTGATCTCCAGTACTGAAAAAATAAAAAGGCAAACAGATTAGTAATTGCCCTGTGTTAAGGAAGGGTATGAGTGGGAGGGAAGTGACTGTAGCCTAAAAGATACTGTAGGTATCTTTGTGCTGGTAGAAATGTTTTGTACCTTCCCTATATCAATATCAGCTTCCTGATGGGGATGTTGTACTATGGTTTTGCAAGATATTACCATTGGGGGAAAACTGACTGAAGGATACATGGGATCTCTATTATTTATCATAACTGTATGTGAATCTATAATATCTCAAAATTTTAAAATGAATTAATTTAATAAAAACATCAAGACTGGAGCTGGAGTTATAGCTTAGTGGTAGCCTGTTTGCCTGGCATGCACAAGATCCTGGGTTCAATCCCCAGGACTGTAAGAAATCAATCAATCAATCAAACAAACAAGCAAGCAAGCAAACAAAAAGCCATAAAGTCCAGGTATGGTGGTGCACACCTGTAATTCCAGCAGCTTGGGAGGTTGAGGCAGGAGGATCACGAGTTCAAATTGCTAGCCTCAGCAATGGTAAGGCCCTAAAGCAACTCAGTGAGACCCTGTCTCTAAATAAAATATAAAATAGGGCTAGGGTTGTGGCTCAGTGGTTGAGTGCCCCTGAGTTCAATCTCTAGTACCCCATCCCCACCACCCCCAAAAAGAAGCCATCAGGACTTACATGCATAGCTAAGTAAATTGATTTAATTATTTTTAGTTTTATGAAAGAGAAACAAAAATAATGTCTATTAATAAGATGAAACTTTTACTCAAACAGCCAAAAACTAAATAATGTCACATAGATATGAAAAATTTAGCCAGTTTAAAATCTTGGAAATGAAAAATAGTCATTGAAAAAAAATGTTTTTAGCTCAGTACCTTAAATTCAAGAAATTAAATTTATAGATAATTGCTGGCAATATGCCACATAGCCTCCTGGCTGAGGCAGGAGGAAAAAAAGTTCAAAGCAAGCCTGGGCAATTAAGTGAGACCCTGACTCAAAATAGAAAAGGCTGGGATGTAGTAGTAGAGTGCTGTTGGTTTCAATTCCCAGTACTGCAAAATAAATAAATGTACAAGTAATGACTTATGTAAGTCCTTAGAAAATAAAAGAATGAATAAGTGACAAACAATAAATGAATATAAAATAAGTGATAATTTTCCTAATTCGAAATTTAAGTATTTAGATAGTGCACTCCAAGTATCAAATAGGATAAATAAAAGTAAATAATATTCTAATTAAACATAGTGGATCAACCTCCTCCCTTATAACTTACTTAAATGTCAGTAAAGAGACTTGTTTTTAAGGGATGAACTCACAAGTTTGAAAAGTATACTGCAGACAAGTATGATCAGTAGAACTGATTATAGCATGTACAATTCCCTGGGTTTAATCTCCAGCACCACATAAGGGGAAAAAAGAAAGAACAAAGGGCAAGTAATTGATAAGAACAAGCAAGCAGAAAATTAGTAGGGATGTAGAAGAATAACACTGTCAGCTTGACCTTTCATTTATAGAACACCCAACAACTGCAGAATATATACTTTTTAATATTCTTTTCAGGTGCACATTGTCCTTCAAGAAAGACCATATTTTAGAACATAAATTAACTCTCACTGAATTTAAGAGGATTGAAATCATATAGCATATGTTCTCTGACCACAGTAGAATTAAGTTAGAAATCATTAACAAAAAAATATTTAAGAAAGAGCATTTGACAAGAAGGGTAAGGCCCTGCCTTTAAGCCCCATCACCCCAAATTAAATATTTTTTAAAAGCTGGAAAATCCTCATATATTTGAAAATTTGACAATAGCTTCAGGATCAAAAAAAAAAAAAAAAACAATTGTCAGAGAAATTAGAAAATATCTTGACCTAAATGACAATGAAAACTGATCAGTATTTGTTAGGATGCAGCTAACATAGGTCTTAATGGAAATTTATATGCATTTTGGCAGTGTTTATGAAAACTCTAAATACAAATTCTTTATAGCAGTTTTACTACAGGATTTTAATCTTATAGATACATTTGTATAGGAAAGATAAAACATTTGTACAAGGCTGTTTATTGCCATTTATTTATAATAATAGCAGAAGAGTGAAACAATAATCAAGAAAAATAAAATAGCTCTCTGCATACTCATAGAATGATCCAAAATATATGGATATGTGAAAACAACAATGTTCAAAACATTTTGTATATATAGGGCAGGTGTTGTGGCTCAGAGGTAGAGCGCTCGCCTACCATGCGTGAGGCACCGGGTTCAATCCTCAGCACCATATAAAAATAAAATAAAAATATTGTGTCCACCTATAACTAAAAAATAAATTTTATATATATATATATATATATATATATATATATATATATATATATATATTTTGCTACCATTTAAGGATGAATGTACCAATATAGTTCCTTAACTACTCAAAAGCATTTTTAAATAAGATTAACAACATGTCAGGAATATTCACTGTGCCTCATTTTGGAATGAAATTGTACCCAAAAAACCTAAGATGTCCACCAAAAGGAGACCAAATTGTGATAAGTATTTTAAAGAATAAATTGTGGGGCTGGGGATGTGGCTCAAGCGATAGCCCGCTCGCCTGGCATGCGTGCGGCCGGGGTTCGATCCTCAGCACCATATACAAACAAAGATGTTGTGTCTGCTGAAAACTGAAAAATAAATATTGAAATTCTCTCTGTCTCTCTCCCCCTTTAATAAATAAATAAATAAATAAATAAATGTGGTCAAATCATGCATTGAAATAAATACTTTGCTCACTTGGGAATGGTACCAGAGGATCTAAGAAATTATTATCTCCCAAATTAACAAGTACATTACAACTTTGACAAAGAATACCTGGATTGTAGCCTTTGAATCACTTCTTTAAAAACCCCCTGTTCCCCGTGATGGGCAGAATCACAGCCCCTGGGACAGGAGTCCCCTGTATTTTCTCTTTTTCTAGCAAAGCAAGGAAACTTCTTTTTCATTTTTCTAAAAAAAAAAAAAAAAAAAAAAAATCAACAAGGATAAATCTCACGTCCATACTGTTACATGAGAAAGGTAAGTTGAATTGCCAACATGATTGATCAACATAAAGCTTTAAAATATAATGCTTTTGAATTATAATATTTTACTATTTAGAAATGAAATCTGATGCACATATGGCACAAAATTAGTAGATTCATTGAGCTGGGTGATAGGTACATGGTGTTGTTTTTTTCCCCCAATATGAGGATTAAACCCAGAGGAGCTCTACCACTGAGCTACATCCCCAACCTTGGTTTTGGAGACAGGGTCTTTAAATTGCCAAGGAAGGCCTCAAGCTTGGTATATCCCTGCTTCAGTCTCCTGAGTCCTAGGGTTATGCTGCCACACCTGTCTTTGTTTATTGTTTCATTTTGTTGATACTGAAGATTGAACCCAAGGGTTCTTTATTACTAAGCTATATCACCAGCCCTTTTTTATTTTTTATGTTGAGACAGGGTCAGAATTCCTCAGAACTTAGCTAAGTTGCTGAAGCTGGCCTCAAATTTTTGATCCCCCTGCTTCAGCATGTGCATTACCAAGGTTACAGGCATGTGCCAACACACCCAACCATGCTTTTTTTTTTTTTTAAGAGAAAGAGAATTTTTTTTTTATTTTATTATTATTATTTTTTTTTTTAGTTTTTTTAGTTTTCGGCAGGCACAACATCTTTGTTTTTATGTGGTGCTGAGGATCGAACCTGGGCTGCTCCCATGCCAAGCAAACACGCTACCGCTTGAGCCACATCTCCAGCCCCCATGGGTTTTTATTAGGTTATCTTTCATACTTTTTTTTAAAAGAAATATTGCTTCTGCCCACCCCCACCCCCACCCCAGTATTGGGGATTGAATCCATGGGCACTCTACCACTGAACTACATCCCCAGCTGTTTTTATTTTTTGAAGACAGGGTCTTGCTAAATTGCCAAGGCTGGCTGTACACTTACAGTCTTCCTGCCTCAACCTTCTGAGTAGCAGGAGTTACAGGACTTGCACCCTTGCGCCCAGCTGCATAATATTTTTAAAAAATATTTAATTATAGATGGGCACAATATCTTTATTTTAATTTATGTGGTACTAAGGATCAAACCCAGAGCCTCGCGCATGCTAGGCAAGTGCTCTATCTCTGAGCCACAACCTCAGCCCCTGCATAATATTTTTAAAGTTAAGAAATTGTGTTTTGCATTGACCATGAAGTCTTTGCAGCTATTACCTATCCAACTGTGCCTATCCTGTTCGTCCGTTGGTGCCCAGTGCAATTCCAAGCCCTCCCACAGAAGTCAGAGTKCTCAAATGAAGAATACCCTTTCCAATGGCCAACAGGGTTTGCCTTTTCTATATTTCTGTCTTCTTGTTTTTCAGGTATGTTGGTGGTAAATGTAACATGGAGGAACAAGACATATGTAGGTACACTTCTTGACTGCACACGGCATGATTGGGCACCCCCAAGGTGAGCACTTAGTCTGTGAACCCTTATACCTTTATCCTGCTAGAGCCGTATACCCATCTTTTTTTTAAAGGGCATTATAATGTAGAAATAAGAGAAGGCACTGTGTTCATCTCGCATTTAAAAGAGTAAATGGGGATGGGACAGTAGCTCAATGGCAGAGCACTTGCCTAGCATGTGTGAGGCACTGGGTTCGTTCCTCAGCACTGCATACAAGTAAAATAAAGACATGTTGTCTATACACACTACAAAAAAAAAAAAAGAATGAATAAATTATGTATTAAAGTGTTGGCTGGGAAATAGGGGTAGAAGATTGGGAAATAAATTCTTTTCTTAATTGTTTGGTCGTTTTTTTGTTTTGTTTTCTTATTTGTTTGGTATCATGGGCTCTGAACCATATCCCTAGCCCTTTTTATTTTTTATTTTGAGACAGGGTCTCACTGTGTTGCTTAGGGCCTCACTTAATTGCTAAGGCTGGCCTCTATTTATGATCCTCCTGCCTCCAGAGCCTCTGGGATTACAGTCATGCAGCAACAACAGTGAAGAAATCCTTTTTAAACCCTTGACTAGAATTAAATTCTAGCTTCTTCCTTTAGTCACCTTGAGACTAAGGATATAAAATCTAACTATCAGTGAACAAACATGCATTGATGATGCTTTTCAATGGTAAGTATCCCCCCTAGAAACTCATCTCAAGAACATGTTTAGTGGTTGGGATTGTGGCTCAGTGGTAGAGTGCTTGCCTAGCATCTTCGAGGCCCTGGGTTCGATCCTCAGCACCACATAAAAATAAATAAATAAAGCAAAGGTATTGTGTCCAACTACAACTAAAAAATAAATATTTAAGAAAAAAAAAGAACATGTTTAGTTTTATAAGCCCTACTAGACTAGACCATGTAGGCAAGGACCTTTACAAATTGCCATTTTTGCAGGGGGAGGGGGTACTTAGAACCCATGTACCCATGCTACGCAAGTGCTGTACCACTGAGCTGCATCCTCAGCCCCTCAAATTCTAATTTGAACTGAAGAACATTTCCCTAGCATGTGCAAGGTCTGGATTCAATCTTCAATCCCTAGCACTACCAAAAAAAAAAAAAAAAAGATTAATATTTCAGTGAATGGCATATTACTTTTTAGTACCCAATTTGCCAGGGCTTGGGGTGCCTGAATGTGGGAGAATAATTTACAGCTGTCATGCAGATAACATCCAAGGAGCTCAACACTTAATGCAGTTCCCACACATTTACAAGTTTCTTTAATGACTCATAGTCATTAAAAATGATAGTTACCAAGTAGGGTATATGGTGCACACCTGTAATGGCAACTACTTGGAAGACTGAAGTAGGAGTATCCCAAGTTTGAAGGCCAACCTGGACAAGAAAGCTAGACCCTGTCTGAGGATGGGGGGGCGGATGAAGAAGAAAAGAAATTGGTAGTTACCATCTAGACATCTTTTACAAAAACTATACTGCTCATTATTCCCTTGAAACAAAGATCGGCAAGAATGTCCCAAGGAAAATTATTTTTGAAGTTTTTTTACTCCCTATCACTTTCTTTTTGTCTACTGTAATGGTGCTCTACCTGGGATTATGTGGTTATTTATGCCTCCTAATATTGAGAGAGCTAGGCCAGGCTTCTAGAGGCTTAGCATATTATAAAACTGTTCAGATGAGCTCAGACCAGTTTTATGTGTGTTTGTTTATTTGTTTAAATATTTATTTTTTAATTGTAGTTGGACACAATATCTTTGTTTTATTTATTTATTTGTGGTGCTGAGGATCAAACCCAGGGCCTCTCACACACTAGGGGAATGCTCTGCCACTAAGCCATAACCCCACCCCCAGTTTTTTGTTTGTTGTTGTTTTTGTACTGGAGATTGAACCTAGGGGGCTTAATCACTGAGCCACATCCCCAGCCCTTTTTACTTTTCATTTTGAGATAGGGTCTTACTAAGTCACTGAGGCTACCTTTGAACTCATAATCCTCCTGCCTCCTTCCAAGTCACTGGAATTACAGGCATGTGCCACCATGCCCAGCTAAGACCAGTTTTTAAAGTTCTCTATATCCTCTCTTTTTATTTCTGAGAAATCTTTTGGAAGGATTTATTTCTGCTTTGGGATATGTAAGAATCTAGAGAAACAGTGGGTAAGTAGGGCAATAATAAAAATAGTAACTTTATAATATGAATGTTCTGGGGGCCCAAAGGAGATAATTGACAAAAATTGTCTTTTTTTTCTGCCATAGCTGTGGCACTCACAGTCTTAGAAACAATCTATTCCACCTGCCCCTGGAATAAGAGTCAAAACCATCTTTAGATCTAAACAGGAACCATCTTTAGCTAAGTGTTTTATTATTTTAGATAGTATTTTGGGGTCCATGAAAAGCTACTCTAGGGCCAGTGAAAAAAGATCCATAGGTGCAAATCTCTAGATTGCAAACATTCAAAAAAATTCATATACTATTTATTGGCTGACATTGTGTTTAGAACATGTTTAGGAGTGTTTTAAATGAATGGATGTTTGATTTGTTCTATCAGTCTATACCTTTATGGTAAGGTATTTAGGCAAAAAGCATTAGGCTGAAAGCAGAACTAAATTCTGGTTGTTTATTGCCATTAATCAGCAGTGTGACTTTGAGTCAGTTACTTTGCATTCCTGGTCTCAATTTCCTGAGTGATCTTTAAAGTCGTCTCTGAAACCGTGATTATGGCTGCATATAGGAAATGCAGAATGACTATTCTTTGTGTGATGAAACAAATGCAGGCATGACTACTCTTTCCCCACATGGCTTTAAAGAGAAATACTGGGGAATAATTTGTAACTGGCATGCAGGTAAAATCCTAGGAGTTCACCACTTAATGCAGTACCCACAAGCACAAATTCTTTCAACAAATCATATTTGTTGAAAGCAATAGTCATCATCTGGAAGGTTCTTCTGGAGGCTACAACTAAACTGGTTTAAAGACTTTTTTTTCCATCATGCACAGTGGCACACACCTGTAATCCCAGCTACTCAAGAGGATGAGGCAGGAGAATTGCAAGTTCAAAGCCAGCCTCAGCAAACTAGTAAGACTCTGTCTTAAAATAAAAAATAAAATAAGAAAAAAAAGGTCTGGGGGTATGGCTTAGTGGTTAAATGCCCCCGGGTTCAATCCCCAGTACCAATAAACAAATAAATAAAGATGGTTTCTCTTCTTAATACTATCCTGTTATATTTGTTCTTTGCCAAGATTCTGTGACTCACCCACCAGTGACTTGGAAATGCGCAATGGTCGAGGTAGAGGCAAACGCATGCGTCCGAACAGTAACACACCTGTCAACGAGACAACCACAGCCTCTGAGAGCAAAGGGACCAGCAGCAGCAGCAAAACCCGAGCAGGAGCCAATAGCAAAGGCCGCCGGGGCAGCCAGAATTCTTCAGAGCATCGCCCACCTGCCAGCAGCACTTCAGAAGATGTGAAGGCCAGCCCTTCCTCAGCTAATAAGCGGAAAAATAAACCCCTTTCAGACATGGAGCTGAATTCTAGCTCAGAGGACTCCAAAGGGAGCAAGCGTGTCCGTACAAATTCCATGGGCTCAGCCACTGGCCCCCTCCCTGGGACCAAGGTGGAACCCACTGTTCTAGATAGAAATTGTCCCTCTCCAGTTCTAATTGACTGTCCCCACCCAAACTGCAACAAGAAGTACAAGCACATCAATGGACTTAAGTATCACCAAGCTCATGCCCATACAGATGATGACAGCAAGCCTGAAGCAGATGGAGACAGTGAGTATGGAGAAGAGCCCACCCTCCATGCAGACCTCGGGAGCTGCAATGGTGCACCTGTCTCACAGAAAGGTTCCTTGTCCCCTGCCCGTTCAGCTACCCCCAAAGTTCGGCTCGTGGAGCCTCATAGTCCCTCTCCTTCAAATAAATTCAGCACAAAAGGCCTCTGTAAGAAAAAATTGAGCGGGGAAGGGGACACAGACCTTGGGGCCTTATCCAATGATGGCTCTGATGATGGACCCTCAGTAGTGGATGAAACAAGCAATGACGCCTTTGATTCTTTGGAAAGGAAGTGTATGGAAAAAGAGAAATGTAAAAAACCCTCTAGTTTGAAACCTGAAAAGATTCCTTCCAAGAGCTTAAAGTCAGCCCGGCCCATTGCCCCTGCTATCCCCCCACAGCAAATCTACACTTTCCAGACAGCTACCTTCACAGCAGCAAGCCCAGGCTCCTCCTCAGGCTTGACCACCACAGTGGTTCAAGCCATGCCTAACAGTCCTCAACTCAAGCCCATTCAGCCCAAGCCCACTGTTATGGGAGAACCTTTTTCAGTCAACCCTGCCTTGACTCCAGCCAAGGACAAGAAAAAGAAAGACAAAAAAAAGAAGGAATCTTCTAAGGAACTTGAAAGTCCTCTGACCCCTGGGAAGGTATGTCGAACAGAAGAAGGCAAAAGTCCATTCAGGGAATCATCAGGAGATGGGATGAAAATGGAAGGACTCCTGAATGGCTCATCAGACCCCCATCAAAGCCGACTGGCTAGCATCAAGGCTGAAGCTGATAAAATCTACAGCTTCACAGACAATGCCCCCAGCCCTTCAATTGGAGGCAGCAGCCGCCTAGATAGCACAACCCCTACCCAGCCCCTGACTCCCTTACATGTAGTGACCCAGAATGGAGCTGAAGCCAGCTCAGTCAAAACCAATAGCCCTGCATACTCTGACATCTCTGATGCTGGGGAGGATGGGGAAGGCAAGGTGGACAGTGTCAAATCAAAGGACCCTGAACAGTTGGTTAAGGAAGGGGCTAAGAAAACTCTTTTCCCTCCTCAGCCACAGAGCAAAGACTCACCATATTATCAAGGCTTTGAGAGTTACTACTCTCCAAGTTATGCACAGTCTAGCCCAGGGGCTCTGAACCCCAGCAACCAGGCAGGAGTGGAGAGCCAGGCCCTGAARATGAAAAAGGATGAGGAACCTGAGAGTATAGAGGGGAAAGTGAAGAATGATGTCTGTGAGGAAAAGAAGCCTGAACTGAGTTCCAGTCAGCAGCCCTCAGTCATCCAGCAACGGCCCAACATGTACATGCAGTCCCTGTATTACAACCAGTATGCCTATGTGCCCCCCTATGGCTACAGTGACCAGAGTTACCACACTCACCTCCTGAGCACTAACACGGCTTACCGGCAGCAATATGAAGAACAACAGAAAAGGCAGAGCTTGGAGCAGCAGCAGCGGGGACTGGACAAGAAGGCAGAGATGGGCCTGAAGGAACGAGAGGCAGCACTCAAGGACGAGTGGAAGCAAAAGCCGTCAATTCCACCTACCCTCACCAAGGCTCCCAGCTTAACAGACCTGGTGAAGTCAGGACCCAGCAAAGCCAAGGAGCCAGGGACTGATCCTGCCAAGTCAGTCATCATTCCCAAGTTAGATGACTCTTCAAAACTCCCCAGCCAAGCCCCTGAAGGCCTTAAAGTGAAGCTGAATGAGACCGGCCACCTAGGCAAGGAGGCCTCTGAGGCTAAGACAGGCACAGAGTGTGGCCGACAGGCAGAGGTGGATCCAATACTCTGGTACCGACAGGTAACTCTTGCCCTTGGGAGGAAGTGGAAATACTGTCTAAACTTTGTCTCCCTCACAAATGAGGGCTATCCTTAGATAAGGGTTCATTTGAGATTAGCAAATGTGGGTATGGTGGATAATTCTGGAGGCTGAGGCAGGAAGATCACCAAGTTCAAGGGCAGCCTCGGCAATTTGGCAAGCCCCTGTCTGAAATAAAATAAAAAAGTAGAAGGACTGAGGATGTAGCTCAGTGATAGAGCATCCCTGGGTTCAATCACCAATACCTTTTTGTTGTTATAGATGGACACAATATCTTTATTTTGTTTATTCATTTTTAAGTGATACTGAGGATCGAACCCAGTGCCTCAATGTTCGAGGCATGCTCTCCACCACTGAGCCAAAACCCCAGCACCCCCAATACCTTTAAAAAAAAAAAAAAAAACAGTGCTCGCTTCGGCAACACATAGACTTTAAAAATTAGAGTTTTAGAGTTATGATTTTAGGAATTTTTTATCTTTGTAAATTGTTTTCATGATTTTTTTAAAGGCTGTGATAGGATTGCAAGTTTGAGGCCAGTCTCAGTCACTTAACAAGACCATCTCAAAATATAAAGGAGTAGGGATGTAGTTTTGTGATAGAGGGCCCCTGGATTCAATCCAGAGTCTCAGGGAATGGGGGTAAACACTATATAGCTCTGTAAAAGAGGTTTTTCCCATTTGATAAGAAAGACCTAGGTACATTAGCTTGATTTGTCTAAAGTTACTTGAACCTTCACTAGCAGAGCCAGGACTAGAACTTAGATATCTTATTTCCTAGTATAATGTTCCTCCCACTGTTTAGTTCCTTCCTATGGAATGAGTTAATGGTATCTCTTCATTTTTTAGAGCAGGTCAAAAGTACACTACTCATTTTCTTTAAGAACAATTTTATAGCCACTTGTGATAATGTCTGTAATTCCAGCTACTTGGGAGACTGAGACAGGAAAATCGCAAGTTTGGGGCCTACCTGGGCATCTTAGCAAGACCTTGTCTGAAAATAAAATTTATAAAAGGACTAGAGATGTGGCTTAATGGTATATCACTTGCCTACCATGCATGAGGCCCTGCATTCAATCTTCAGAACTGAAGAAGAGGGAGAAAGGGGATTTAGTAGGTGGAATTAGAACAGAGAATGTAGAGTCTCACATCTTTGTTCATGGAACTTAGACTATCTTCCCTTCCCTACTGGTGAATGCTTACCCTCCTTCTCTGACCTGGCAGCAGTGATAGCTTTCTACCCATTGAGCTTACCCTGAAGAAGGGAAACAATGAAGCTGGGGATATAGCTCAATTAGTAGACTGCTTGCCTGGCATGTATAAGGCCCTGGGTTCAATCCCTAGCACACCATACACACCAAAAAAAAAAAAGTGTGCTGAAGAAAGGAAACAATCTAAATGTCTTAGAAGGAGGTAGCCCCTTCTATTCCAGGAATATTTGTCCCAGAATGTTTGTGCTTGCCTAGAGAACATACACTGATAGGTTTTCTTTTTCTCTCCCCACATCTTGTCTCCTTGAGTGGGGAGCTTTTTAAACAAGAGAAACCAAAATTGGATTGTAAACAAAGATCAATAAAAGCCACGATCCTACCCTGCCCCAGGAGTCTAGTGTGCTTGTATTTATTCTGGGACCTTGGGCTTGAACTATATCTCTGTCTTATGTGTACAACACCTCATTCTGTGATTATTGTAGGAGGCAGAACCCCGGATGTGGACATATGTTTATCCTGCCAAGTACTCAGATATAAAGTCAGAGGATGAGCGGTGGAAAGAGGAACGGGATCGCAAATTGAAGGAGGAAAGGAGTCGGAGTAAGGACTCTATCCCCAAGGAGGATGGGAAGGAAAGCACAAGTAGTGACTGCAAGCTGCCCACGTCTGAGGAGTCCCGCCTTGGGAGCAAGGAGCCGCGACCAAGTGTCCATGTGCCTGTGTCCTCTCCCCTCACCCAGCACCAGTCCTACATCCCTTATATGCACGGCTACTCCTACAGCCAGTCCTATGATCCCAACCACCCCAGCTACAGGGGCATGCCTGCTGTGATGATGCAGAACTACCCAGGTATAGCATCCTAGTGCCAGCTCTGCTCCATTTACCAGGAAGGGAGATTTCAAACCCAGAGTTTTGTTGCTTGGCACTAAGACTCAATGAGGCTTGTTTAGTTGACAGCCCTTTTTAGATTGTATCATTCTGTGAAGTGGTCACACTTTCCTGTAGCTCCTTATATGACTCCTGATTATAGTCTGAGGGACCGGCTCTCCTTCCTTTGTTGAAGCTAGAGGGTTGCCTCTACTGTCAGTTCTCATTGATACTCTTAGTATCACCATCTAAGCTGGCTTTTTTTTTTTTTTTCAGACATATGCTCTAAATTTTGCAATGTACAAGGCACTATGGAGAATATAAAAGACATTAGTTCCCACCTCTCAAAAACCTTATAACTTGATAGAGTAGAGACATGTGGAACAAATAAAATTCAGATCAGAACAATGTACATATTCAGTTGCAAGATCATGCTCAGCTGAAAGTTTGGAAGGCAATCGAGAGACAGGAAGAACTGTTTGAAGTAAGGGGATGTCTGGCTAGGTTCAACTTGAGAAAGATTAGCTCTTTATGCTGGTATCCATGAGTTCCTAGAGGGGTGGGGCAAGTAGAGTTGAATAAGAACATTTTCTTTTTTAAAAAGTTTTTAGGGGCTAGGTTGTGCCTCAGCATAGAGCTCTTGCCTAGCATGTTGCGAGGCACTGGGTTCGATTCTCAGCACCACATATAAATAAATTGATAAAATAAAGATCCAAAAACATCTAAAAATTTTTTTTAAAAAAGTTTTTAGAAGAAAATGTTCTTAGTCAACTCTACTTGCCAATTTCTATTGCCCAGAGTCATGTGGGATTCTTCTGGGGTAGAAGGGCATTCAATTTAACTTTGTCTTGATATTTATCTTAACATGTAATAATTATATATATATTAATAGGATATAATGTCATATTTCAACAAATGTATACAGCATGCACTGATCAAATCAGGATGATTAGCATTTTATGTTTGAGCCTTCAAATTCTTTTCTTACAGATTTTCATAAAATATAGGGTTATTGTGAATTTATGAATATAATATTCATAAAATATAATAGGCTTATTGTGAACTATAGCCACCCACTTTTCTGTGGAAAACAAGAATATATTCCTTCTACCTGTGTTTGGATACTTGTTATCCAACTTCTCTTTATTCCTTACCCTTCCCCCAACCCCTAATAATCACTATTCTACATTCAGATTCGCTTGGGCTTTTTTTTTTTTTTTTTTTTTTTTTTTTTTTTTTTTTTTAAAGAGGAGAGAGAGAGAGAGAGAATTTTTTAATGTTTATTTTTTAGATTTCGGTGGACACAACATCTTTATTTTATTTTTATGTGGTGCTGAGGATTGAACCCAGCGCCCCGCGCATGCCAGGCGAGCGTGCTACCTCTTGAGCCACATCTCCAGCCCCAGACTTGGGCACTTCCTAACTTACTTAGAGCTTCCACCTTCCTACAACCTAAATAATCATGACATCTGGTGACATTGTTTTTAAGACAGACTCTAAGTAGAATAAGTAAGCTTTTCAAACAGAAATGGAAAATTTTCTCACTCCTTGAGCAAGGTAAGGTGTTCCTTACTTCCTGTCACATACACTCATATATATAAAAATAATAGTTCTGTGTATTGTGAAGGCTTGCTCCAATCCAGGCACTATCCTGAGATATTTATGAACATTATCTTCTTGTCTTCATTTTGATGAAGAAACTAAAACTCAAAAAGGTTGTTAATTTGCTGAAGATTACCCAGCTAGAAAGTTTCAGAGGTTTAGTTAATCCCAAGGCCAGTTGACTTTATATCTTTATGATCTTTCTACTTTAATATCACCCCTCCAAAAGAATCTGAGAGTCCTTCAAAGAACCATACCAGGTCAGGGGAAGTCAGCTCCAGGAAACTAAAGGCATATTCCTTGCATCCCTTCACTCATTTTCCCTGTAGAGTTCAATAAAGAAAAGACAAGCCAATAGTCTTATCCCAAAGATACCATGGTAGGAAATACCTCAGCCTATGCCTAGGAAAGCTAATGCCCACTTAACCAAGCTCACTAAAGCAGTTTCTTCTACCTTTCACTTCTTTGACCACTTGATTTCTCCTTCCCCAGGTTCCTATTTGCCTTCCAGCTATTCTTTCTCCCCATATGGCAGCAAGGTCTCAGGTGGTGAAGATGCCGACAAGGCACGAGCCAGCCCCAATGTCAGTTGTAAATCCAGCTCAGAGTCCAAAGCCCTGGACATCTTGCAGCAGCATGCCAGTCACTACAAGAGCAAGTCTCCCACGGTAAGAGAAGTACAGTATTATCCAAAAATAACAGAGATCCAAAATCTTGGAGGCAGTGGGCAAGTTCAGGTCCTAACCACAGTGCAACTTGACTGACTCATCAGGGCAAGTTCTTGATTCATAGGTGTCCTGCATTTTCAGGAAATCATAATGTGGGGCTCTGGTTATATCACTCATGTATGTCTCACTCTGGTGCTTCTCTGTGTTTCCTTTCCTTTCCAGATAAATGATAAAACTTCTCAGGAGAGAGATCGGGGAGTCTGTGGGGTGGTTGGGGGTGGCAGCAGCTGTAGCAGTGTTGGGGGATCAGGCGGGGGTGATCGAAGTGTCGACCGGCCCCGTACCTCCCCTTCCCAGCGTCTGATGTCCACACACCACCACCACCACCACTTGGGGTATTCATTGCTCCCAGCACAGTACAACCTACCCTATGCAGCAGGTAAGCCTATTATCCCCTATCATCTATATTTTGGTCTGCATCCCAGTAGTAATGCTCATAGTAAGGTCCCCCCCTACATATGAATCTTTTGTCTTTTCAAGCTTCTAATCTATCCAAAGTACTTGCCTCCTGCAAATACTTATTAAAACATGACATTTATTTACTCCCTTGGAGCTGGGGGATTCTTAGACTCATCCAGAATGTTGACTTTGATATTCACAGAATAAGGAACAGGTATTCCCACAGCCAAAATAAAAGAAGCATCTATTTAATTAAAAAAAAAAAAAAAACTATATACTGTCTACCCCCAGCCACTGTATCTGGCCAAGAATCAGATTTTTTTTTTCAGTCAGTACCCAAAACTCAGTGGAGCTAGGAATTTAAGGGTCTCTCCTCCCTGTGTCTAGCCAGCTGTTGAAAAGGAAATGTGAAGGGGAGGTTTCTGTGAATGCCGGACTAACATGTCCTCCTACTTGCCCAGGGCTTTCTTCTACAGCCATTGTTGCCAGCCAGCAAGGCTCAACTCCCTCACTGTACCCACCCCCCAGGAGGTGAGAATGGTAAGTAATTTTTGTTTGTTTGGGGCAACATAGGGCCCAAATACCTGGATCACAGCATCCCTGTGGAGCCTAAGTGAGGGATAACTGAGGTGTCAGCAGTCTGGAAATAGTGGAATCCTGCCAAGCCTATTGTAGGACAGTCTCCTGTGAAGCTGTATGCATCTACGAGACCTGTGGCCCCTAGGGATTAATACTGGCCAGTTAATTTTCTTGGAGCGCCATCTTGTGGTTGTCATGCCAGCAAGCTAAGTGCCTGGTTACCTGTCCATGTTTCCCTTGCAGAACACCAAGTGCCCGGATAAAGTCAACTTCACGGGCCTGGACTGGCTCACCCAAGGAGGTGCTGGACGTGCCATTTAGACATCAGTTAAATGGTGTTGATCATCCTGTTTGCCGTTCCTACCATGACTGAAGGCAGACCCTTGGCTCTCTCGCCTCCACCAGACCCCTGGAACTCCCTGACCCTCCCTCTTCCTCAGGACCTGGAGAGCTGATACTTAGCAAAAATATTTATTCTCTAAGCCACATCATGGCTTTGTCACCTCTGTGGAGATGAAGGCACGGGGAGCAACCAGGGGAACAACCAGGGGAACATGGCCTCAGCCCAGAGAAGTCACTGCTCTTTTCCCCAAGGCCTTGGTCTGCTACCGGAGCAGTACACCCCCAGAGAGGGGACCCCACCCCCACCCCGCAAGCGCTGGGTAAGGTCTGAAGACAGCACAGCAGCCATACCCCCTCTACCATCATTACCACCATCATCAGTTCCTGCATCTCCCCAGTGGTTTGGGCCCTGGGAACAGACAGCATGTGGAGGAATTAGAATCTCAGGAAAAGATATTGGGGGGCTGTTTTCTCTGTGTGAAAACAAGGTCTTCAAACATAGAGGACCAGGACCCCTCCCCCCACCCCGCCGCCCAATGTGAGCACATATAAACGCTCAGAGCCTAGCCTAGAAAGGAAGACCAAGGCATTTGCCCCACCATAGCCTTGAAGCTGCCTGTCAAGCAGAGGGGCAGGGGTTTCAACACCAGCACAGGGCTCCCCAGGGATACCCTGAATGAGTTGGAGCATGAAATTGAAACTGCATCCCCACTAGGTCCTGCTGCTTCTTATCTCCCAACTCCTTGTCTTTTTCTCTTCCCTCCTAACCCCTTGGTGCTTTTCCCAGGGGGATCCCCACACTGATCTTGCCTCTTCTTTTCCACTGCTTGGCTCTTAAGACTCAGGCAGATAAAATAGTATTCCCCCAGCATGGGGAAGCTTGGAGTCTACTGGGTCACTTTAGGGCAAGACCCAGAAGGCAGGCCCTGGGAGCACCCAGCAGTTCTTGGAGATGTCCTGTGCATTCAGCCATTTGAGTAACTTCCTCATTTAGGGCTACAAATGTATACAGCCCAGTTCTGTCAACAAGTACATGACTTTATATAGCTCAATCTATAACCTCCGTGTGTGCCAATATAAACTGTGTCTTTGTAACACAAGTTTTTGTTTTAGGGGCCACTGGCCATAGGAGGCCTTTTGTTCCTCAGACCCTGGGAAAATACATCCTAGCATTGCTTGTCAGAGTTGTAGTGAATTCAGTGGAGCTGTGCTTTGAGATAGCAAACATTTCTCTGCTTTCCTTAGAAATTCAGTCTCTCTGGGTCCAAGCTTTATGCTCTGTACACTGGGAAAATGATAATGATTCAGTGCTTTATTGGAGTCACTTCTTCCCTGGAGTGTGGGAAGTATTAGCTCTTTGCTTTTGTGAGGGGTCATCTCTTTGTTCTCCTCCCCTCCTATCTTTCTTTGACCCTCTGGATTGAGAGAGAAAGATTGACAGACACTTGCCAAGGCTAGAGAATTTGTGACCAGAGTGCCAAAAGTGACAATTTAAGAGCAGGAATATGACTGTGACTTAATTTGGAGAATGAGAATAGGAGGACAGTAAGCACAATGCCCAGTTGAGGGTGGTTTCTAAAAATTCTGCAGCCCTATACATAGATGGGCCTAGGTCATTTGTCCAAGAGGAGAGCCCCTCTGATCTACAGACCTTTTCTCTAGACTCTCAAGTCCTTGTTTTTTGTTCATGTTGGGTTCTTAGCCTTCCCCAAAAGCCCCTTACTTTAGACCTGTTGACAAGGTCCCAAGCAGCCTCCCTCACAGCCATCATCCCTCTGCCTCCTGCTGCCCAGTGGGTAGTGCCCTGAATAGTGACTTCCCTTTTATCTATGGAAGTAGCTGGAAGACAGCTTCATTCCACCTAACCTGAGTCACCCCTACCAAGAGAGTGACTAAATTTCAGCCTAATTATGCCTTCCCAGGCTCCTGTGGGGTGGAGCCAAGAGCCCATCTCTGTTGTTTTAAAATATTGTGTGTTTGTATCTGTGGCGCTGGCCTGCAGCGTGCTCTGTACATATTGTAAAGAAACCGTTGGAATAATTTTCTTTCTCTTTGGGCAGGCATGGCCCCACACTCCTGCCTTTCCACTTAGTTCTGTGACACAGAAAGGAGGAACTTCTGTATTTGTAGAGCAGCCTTGGATTTTGCAGAAGGGAACAGCTGCTTCCCCCCACCCTTTAAAAAACATTTAGCTCTTTGATCCTTATATCAAAAGTCTCCCTCAAAGAGTAGGAGCTGCCCAGAAGAGCAGGTGAAAACAACAGTGGCAGAATGGCACTGCCTGCCTTCTCTTCACCCTGATCTTTCCTGGGTACAATCTTCCCTGAAATAACATGATGCAGAAGTAGAAGCAGCAGCTGTGGTGAATCCTTGACAAGTGCTAAGTGAAAGATTTGCTGTCCACCTCTCCTATATGGGGAGGAGCAACACAGGTAAGGGCTACCTGTGGCACCCATGACCTAGTCAGAGGGATGAGACACTCAACAATGATCTCTACCCCCACCAGCAGAGGCTAGAAAAGGTTACTGGTCAAGGGTCCAGACACCCAAACCAAGCCTCTCTCTGAGCCATCCCTGCCCAGGTCCCTACAAACATAGCTCCCTGGGCACTCCCATGGAAGAGAAGCTACAGGGAAAGAGGACCTCATCCCCAGGAAGGGCAGCTTGGAGAGCTGCTCTTTAGGATTCATGACCGCTTCCTCATTTAAGGTGTGCTGGTTCCCTTCATCCTCAGTCCCTGCCTTATTCATGTGTGTGTGTGCGTGCATGGAGTTTCCTTCTTTCCCCACTTTCTCCACACATCTCAAGGACAAAGAACCACACACAGACGGGTAAGAAGGCACCCAATGAGATGAAATGGTCATTTCTTGACTTTCTTCTCCAGACTCCAGGGTGTAGGGGTAGGAGAACTTAGTTTAAGGAGTTGGGGATTAAGACTACAGAAGGGCTAGAGAATTGTATAGAAGCTTTGAGGCCCCTTCATGTCACATACTTCCCCATTTGTCCCATTTCCATCCCAGTGTCTACTTTGACGCCCCCAAGATCCAACTGGGCAGCTAGTTGGCTCCAGAATTCTGGGCCTTTGTCATTTGTTTTATTACTAGGGCATCCCAGGAAGCTTTCCAGTGATACCCTGCCATGGGCTCCTTCTGAGATTGAGCTCCTCCCAGGCCCTGTCCCCCAGCCCCTCCTGCCCGAGCCCACCCGCTTGCCTTGGTGCTCAGCCCTCCCACTGGGAGCAGGTTGGGGCAAGCTGGAGGCCAGGGCTGGAGGGGCAGTGTTGCTGTTCATAGCTTTTATTCCATTGGCGTTGCTCTGTTGGATTTAATTTCAGTCTTCCTGATTGTTCCCTTCTGTAAAAGTGTAAATTACCAAGTTCCTTGTTTTTTTTTATATATATATATAAATATATATATATACAAACTGTACTCTTTTTGCCTTTGTACATTCAGGCAAGAAGAGAAAATAAATCTTTTTAAGAGACAATCACAAATCTGTGAGGGCTGCTGGTTATTTCTCCTGGAGTTTGCTGCTAAGCTGCCTCTTCCTTCCTCCGAACTTTTCTGTTTTCCCTCAGCTTTCCCAGTCTTCTGGTCCTGCTACATGTGCATCCTCAGCTTCCCTGGCTAATGGCAAGCTGTTGAATCTAGTGTCCCAACTACCTGCCCTGTAGCCCTTTCCTGCCCAGCATTGTTTTCTGACTTGGTCACTGGCTTAGCCCAGAAGCTCTGTCCTAGCCTCTCCTCTTTTCACCCTTAGACCCCACTCACCAAAGTGGCTTTGGACCCCTTGGTATTCTGGGACCAATCTCCCAGAGGCCCTAGTTTGGATGCTCACCCAAGAACTATGCAGCTGGGAGCTCTCTACCTAAGAGTTTGCACTACTTGAACCCGCCTGGGGGGTTAGGAATGACTGGAAAAGGACTCCTATTGCTCTACCCATCCCACCCTCACACATTCCAGTCTCCAAAGTGCTCTGCTCCAGAGCCCAGAGAATCATTCTTTGCTGGTGGACTCCTATGTTACCCCATCAGAAAAAGGGCTAAGGGGTTATGGATCAAGAGCATTTGATCAGAATTTAAAAGGGTGGTATCTTCTGAAACACAGCCCAACCAAACCATTGTTCCCCATTTCTCCTTTCCTCTGCCTTCCTACTTCCCTGCTTTTTTTCCCTTTGCCTCTACTTCCTTTTCTTAATTGGCTTTGGAATTGAAATATATTTTTAAATTATTTGTTGTATTTATTGAATAAAGTTTTTAATGTCCCTGTTCTTAAATTTAGACTTAGTTTGCCTTTCACATCTCTATCCCTCTCTCCACCCTCCCCCCAAAAAAATTCTACCAAGTTGCTTTTTTAACTGGAGTTCAGACTTTGAATACCAAAATTTCTTTCCTGCAAAGCTATTTTTTGGGAAATCTTGACAGGGTACCTGGATTTCCAATTCAGTCCTTCCTTTTATCTCTGCAACAGGAACCACCAACAGATGGCAGGAGAATCTCAAGCATCTTTCCTGTCCATTCTGCTAACTTTGGAGGAAAAAGTAAAGGACTGAGAGGTTTTCCCTTATCCTTTCTACTAGCAGATTCCTTGGATTTAACATCTGAATCCTAAACTGCCTATGTCCCCTTTAGGCTGCCCCTAGAAATCATCTGCTTAATGGGGGACAGCTTTTAGCCACTCTGATTTCAATTTAATGTGTCTAGTCCCAGACTTGTTCTAATACTACTATGTGTGGGGAGTGGGGGTATTGACTCAGGTCTTTTAAGGAATACCTACTTGGTTATTAGGTTAATGGTTTGGCCCAGAATAAAACACAAGTAAGCTCTGTGAAATACAGTGTGAAAATTGGCCAGAGACCCACATATAAACTTAAGAATCAAGAGTAGTTACAAAGCTATAGGAGGTATAGGAAGTAGGAAAAAAAAAAAAAGAGAGAGAGAGAGAGAGAAACAATAGGGAACGTTATGTGGCAGTTCCATGCAAAAGCCAAAAACCCAGTTTTAGAACTCAGACTTGTAATATAAAAGGAAAAACAATTTGGATCCTAGGGAGAGAGCCTCTATTAGACGAAGCTGATTTTGTACATGCCTCTCTAGGGGGCTCTCGCAATGTGTCTTAGACTCCTAGCAACCCCACGTTTCACAGTATAACACAGCCCCAGAGACCTTGGCCAGCTTATCTGCCCTACTGCATTGCAGCTTTCTCCTTGAGAAGCATGTTTGCACACCCCTATTAAGTTAGGCTCTGGGCTCAAAAGTCAGTAGTGGTAAGAAGTTGGTCCTGGTACAGGAATAAAGAACAGACCAACCATAACTTTAAATCAGTTTATTGACACAGTAACACAACACACTTTCCTCCCTGACACCCCCACTTCCCTTCACCCAGCCTAGATCTCCTGCCCCTTCCTTTCCCCTTAGAACAAGCTATTCAATGAAACAGAAAAGAAGGAGCCACTTTTAGCCCCTTTTCCTATTACCTCTAGGCCCTGCAGGACAAGGTATTAAAGCACTGCTCAGAACCTGTTAGGGGCAGTCAGCACTATGCTCAGCCAACCAGAGGCATTAGGTCCCTAAGAACAGATTCCCCACGATTCCCAGGCCCTGAGTTGCTATTTCTTCTCTCTGCTCTTTGTGACCCTAGGAAGGAGACCTTGGAGCCTGAGCCACAGGAGCAAGAACTCCTGGCAATAGTTTGAGAGTTGGAATTTAGTTAGTGTTTCTTAAGGCCCAGGCACCCCAAAAAAAGCCCTGTCATGGGAGTGAACTTCAATGCCCTATTTAAAATGCACTGATAACATTAAACAGATTAAGCCAGCTTAACCAAATGCCAGAATAACACTAAGCTGTAAAGGAGGAGGGGTCAGACCTGCTTACACCAGGCCAGACACAAATGCACACAGAAAAGCCCAGGTGGAGTCAAAAAACAACCCAAGGACACTGCCCAAAAGCCTATTCAGGAGCCCCTGGGGTGACAGGAAGCAAAGAAAAAAAATACATTAAGTCTTAAAAACCAAAACAGAAAGCCCAACAGTAGGGGAACCTGAGCCTGACAGTGCTGTCCACCAGCCCTTGCCCCTGGACCCAGATAGCCCTTCCCCCTCTAGGCAATGTCCTCCCCTAGGCTAGATAGAGCACATCACACAGCGCAGTTTAAAAAGCTTCTAATGCCAGTTCATAAACATCTTCATTTACTATTGGTGATTACATGTGAATAATATGTTTATACTGTTCTTTATGGAAAACAATTTCAACGAGTCAACTCCAAGAACACAATAGGCAACCCTCACCCTGAGCCCCTCAGCGTCCTTCCCTAGACAGTAAGGAGCCCTCTTCTCCTCTGTCCCAAGGCTGCCTAACTTCCCCTCTTCCCCCACTGTGGCTCTTGGGCAAAGCATCCTCTATGACCATTAGTCCTCATCGGACAAGTTCTGGTCCAGGGGGTAAACCATGAACATCACATCTGGCCGAGAGGGGACGCAGGGATGACCTGGACGCACAATCTCAAAGCCCAAGAAGCTGAAGGTCTTCAGGAGTGGAGCTGTAGAAGATAAGAGCATAAAAAGGATTCTGATGAGAAAAACAAGGACAGGCTTAAAATCAAAGGAAAACTCCAAAAGAAATGGAACAAACAAGGTTGTTAGTAATCCTTGGGCAACTCCCTTCCACGCCTGATTTGCCAGGGGCAGGTGGTGGCAGACACCAGTAATCCCAGATACACTGGAGGCTGAGGCAGGAGGATTCTAAATTCAAGGCCAACYTGGCCAACTAGAAAGACCCTGTCTCAAAATTTTAAAAAAAGCAACTCAGAGATAAAACTGTCCTGGGTTCAATCCCTGGTACTAGGTGGGGGAAGGAGGAGTCCCTACTTACTAAACAGGAACCCTGTATCCTCCTCCCCAGACCCTGCTGCGCAGCCTGGAAGTCTTTGGCTGCTTTGACTCCTCACCTCTGTCTTCACGGCCCTTCCTGAAGCAGATGAAGACATAGTTTACTTTCATCTTCTCTTCAGCAAACTCTAGCAGTGCTAACAATCTGTAAGAAGCAAAGAAAACTAATCAGGCCCTCCTACTCCAAACCGTCAAAAAGAGGGGTTTTCTGAGCCAAACCGCCAGCAATATAATATAGAAGCTCCAGAGAAGGTTCTCATTTTGAGATCTTGAGAGCCCCGAGTTCAGAAAAAAATAAGCCACACAGAGTCTTAAGAAAAATGTTATTGAATTATCTCTTCCTGTGACTAGTTCATCATTTGAAAGTAACACTGACCATCTTAACTAATGCAGTTCATAAGTCAGAGCTTGAGACCTAGAAAAAGAACCCAGTTCTCCAGAGATTACTGCCAACTTTGATAAGGTCACCTGCCACTGAGCAGGATACTGTGGGCCCTGCCATTGCCTATTTTCTCAAGAAACTAGAGCCAGAACTCTGTCCTCAGGACTGCTGCTTACATGGGCTGCTTGGAGGGCCTTGCCCAGTCCAATGGAATCCCACGGTATCTGCACCACTGTAAGGTGGCTCAAGAGAGACTTGGTATCTGCTTGGAAGCATGAACCAGGGGGTGATTAACTAGTAGGCATTTGGTTAATGTGATAAAGATCTGCTTTAATTATAACCTAGAGCAGGCCTGTTTTATTGGCTAAAAATAACCTGTTACAAAATGGAATCTACTTGGGAAATCTAGAGCTAGGGAAGAAAGCATGGACTTTGGTTAATTATCCCAGTAAACATAGGTCTGGGGACCTTCTTTTCCTCATTTGTTCCTTTCCCTTAGCACTTGCTCCTTACCCTTCTTTGCTCCCATCAGCTAATAATCCATCTGGGATTTCTACAAACAGACTCTGGCTGGACAGGACTGCATCCCAGCAAGAGACCTTCACCTCGGTGACCTCATATTGGAAGTGGACAATGTGAGGTTTTCCATCATTCACAGGGAGGTCCTGGGTCACAGTGAGCTTCTCGTCCTGGGAAGGAAAGCAGGACAAAGGACCATATCACTGCTGCCTCTGGCATGTCATATACTTTCTAACTAGGTGGAACTAGGAATCCCTTAGGCCAAAAGAGGGCATAGGACAAGAGGGTATGCTGGAAATATAGACCCACATCTGGCTAAGTGAAGCCATTGTTAAAACCAGTTGATGTTAAGAAGGGAAATGTATATTGAAGCATATACCAGGTACCAAGTATGGTGCACAATATGGTCCCATATATTAGTTTGACAAACACTTAAGGTGAGCATTAGTATTTCCATCTTAAATCTGACATTTAAGAACAATTAAGAATATCAACCAAAGCTCTCAAGGTAATAAATGACAAAGCTGAGATTCCAACCTAGGTCTGATTTGAAAGCCTATACCCCCCCCCCCAAAAAAAAAAAAAAACATGTTCTTTCCCTTCCCTCTGAAAGGACATTTGTGACGGTTTGGCTGGGGACTTGACCAACCAAAACCTGCTTTCAGGTGGACTGTACAATTCATATTATCACAGTGTCAAGAAACTAGAACTTAGCTGTCCTGCTAACCTTCCATCCCAGTCTTAGAAGCCAAACCAACTTCTGGGCCTCAGTCACAGCAGATCAAAAGGCAGCAAATGGTGCCTCCCTCTAAAACTCCTGAAAAGCCACATAGCAGCCTCAGCTGAAGAGTCCTTCCCAGTCCCACTACTGGCCTGGAAGACTATGAAAGTGACAGCTCCCTCTGAGCAGCAGCTCAATGGTATCTGAGAACTCTGCCCACAGATTCCCATCCCAAGTTCTTCCTTACCTTATATATTAGAGCTGAGAGAGAAGGATCCCTGCCGCCCCCTCGCCCACCGGGGATCTTCGACAGTGGGTGAGGGGCATCAGGAGCACCACAGAGGCCCCGGAACAATGTGCCTGCAGCACTGGAGCTGGGGACAGTTACTCAAAGGCAAAATACTACTGCAAGAGAAAGAGAAGATAATACAGTAAATGCCAAAACTTGAAAATTTAACTCAAATCCCACCCCAACCTTTCCCCTAAACAAGTGTTCTAAAGGCCACACCATTGCCCCAGTTCTTCCAAAATTGCCATTGCTCTCTTGAAGGAGCCCACCATCATGAAGAGAGAGAAAAATTCCTGAAGGCCCAAGGGAGTTCAACTGCATATGTCTGACAAGGGGAACACCTATCAGATATCTTCATACAAACACTGTGGCAC